CCCTCCCCCCTCCCCTCCTCCAGTACTTGCTGTCACTCGGAGGCCTAAGATCATAGCCTTGCTCTCTTGCGCAGCCTCACACAGGTCACCAGGCTTTGTCTCCCCTTACACTGAGAGCTTCGTCTCCCTCTGCAGCCAGTGGCCTTTCTGCTTTGCCTTTCTGTTAGACAACATCTGGATTGGCAGCTGGGTGTTGCCATCACTTTAGTGATCCTGGGACTTGCCCTGTTGCTTGGGTGCTCTGAGCATGCCTGGCAGCTGGAGCAGCTGTGACTGTGAAGGACATGTCTATGCTGGCACATAGAGCACTGTCCAAGGTGACGGACTGACTCCCCGGTCATCACACCTGATGGGACCACAGCTCTCTGTGGTCCACATCCAACTAGTGAAGTGTCAGCTGTCACCCTAGCCCCAAGTGGAGGATGAAGGACACTCTGAGACACCAGGTCGTGTGCTCTAGGCAGACCTGTCATGGGAGCTAAAGATTGGTTTCTAGTGCTGGATATACTCAGACCTTTTGCTCATTAAACACACCCTGCCAGCTGCACCCAAGCACTGAGCTACACCCCTAAACCCAAATGCTCAGTGTTTTACATGCATAGCATCGCTTGAGGGTGACCTCCTTAGAAGTATTGCTCAATATAATTTTCCACTGGCTTTTTCTCGCGGGAACAACAGAATTGTCTGGCAGACTTGGGAGCGCCGAGTGCCAGCCACCTGAACTTAGATAGGCTCCCTGAGAGGCGCGGAGCACTGACAGCCCGAAGCCTGGCAGTTCCTCCAGTCTGCCAGGAGGGAGAGTGCCCTCTTGGGAGGAGTGGCTTTCTTTCTCGGTGGGGACATCCACCAACATCTGGAGGTTGTTGTTTAAAAAGTGCCTTGCAGCCAGGCCCCCGAATTCTGTTGCTTGACCTGCACCTGTGCTTGGGGGCAGCTGATGACCAGAGCCAACATCATTGTGCCCAGGGAGGCAAGCCAGGCTGCAGCTAGTGGCGTAGGCATGCGCAGATCCGCTGCTGCATGTGACTCCTGCCTCCCACGCTGTCATAACACCTACATCTATTTAAAATTTGAACACTGTGAAAAAATTGTCAAGCATCAGGTGCTTAAAATACTTCCTTTCTGACCAGGAGCTCACAGTGGTCTGTGTCTGCTGAGCCTGAAGTGTGGAGGGAAGGTGGAGAAGCGGTACGGGGGGGGGGGGGGGGGGGGGGGGGGGGGGGGGGGGGGGGGGGGGGGGGGGGGGGGCTGCTTCCCACAGGCCTCTGTGGACTGTCGACTGCTGCTGGGTCAGCTTTGGTGCTGGGCGCTGCACCAGTGTTCTAGAGGCCCCGTCCTTTGGGCCCTGTATGCTGAGCACACAGAAGCTTTCTCACGGGTGTGTTCTGACGATAATGTCTCAGATCAGTCCGAAGCAGTGTGTGAGGCTAGCCTCAAGTTGAGAGAATACAGGGCCCGGGAAACTCTGAACTTGTAAACCTAAACAGGGCAGCAGACTGCAGCCTTTGGCTGCAGGCACTTTCCGGCTCAGCCTAGCATTGGTCTGAAGAGCTGCGTGGTTCTTATGAAACATCAGGTTTTCCGGCTGGCCCGAGTACAGTGGTGTTAAACTAACCTATCACAACCAGTTACAGATTTCTAAGGCCAGGCACGGTGGTGCACTTTCATCCCTGCACTCAGGAGGCAGAGGCCAGCCAGGGCTCTACAAGTAAGACCCTGTCCTGGGCAAAGTACCAGGGTTGGGGCTGGGGAGGTGGTTAAGCAGGAGTGGGAGTCCCTCAGAACTCAGGTAAAAGCCTCCTGGAGTCCAAGTCTGCAGAAGGTAACAGATCTTAGAGCAAGTTGCCTGGCCTGACTGCTTGGACACTGTACTGCAGAGGAGCACTCTGGGAACTTGTTTGCAGTCAACATGGTGCAAGGTTCTGTTGCACTTCATGTTCTCAGGAGACAAGCAGGGGTCCACTGTCCCTTTTCATCATGTTCTTTATGGTGAGGGGATCCCAAGAGAGAGATGTCAACAACCTGAGGTGGTTATTGCAGGGAAGCTCACGGGTGGTGGGCACAGCAGGCAACTGGATGCTTCCGGGTTGGTGTGTGGTCCAACACATTGAGTGATGGAAGGCTTCAGATAGGACTTTTCTGTAAAGCTGCTGCAGATGTCATGTAGAAAGTCAGTGTGTGTAACCATGGCTCTGCATATGGACATCAGGAGAGCTTTGTGCATTCTGTTCTCTCCTTCCAGAGAGTGAATTTAGGTTGCCAGTTGGTGCTGCAAGGGCCTTTACCCTCTGAGCCTCTTGCCAGCCTGAGGAAGCCAGTGTAGTGGTGTATATTAAATAATTGCTAGAGATGCGTGCTGACAGTCCCTCAGGGGACTGTAGGCCCATGGGGCACGTGGACCTAGTTGGTGTCCTACATTCCTCTGCGCTCACCCTTGAGCTGACTGGACCTGTGATGCAGACTTGAGCAGTAGGGTGGCATGTAATGCAGGAGCAGGTGGGCAGGGCTCCCCAGCGCACAGTGCCAGGACTGGTCTGGACAGTTAGCTGACTGCAGCAGATCGAGATACGGGACAAGTTGTTCCCAACACTGGGAGAGCGTGGCTCCCATATCCTGAAAGATGCTCTGGCTTTACCACGTGGACCACTGTTGGGGTGGACCTAGCTGGTGGATACGGGAGCCTTGGGCATGGCTTCGAAGTGTGCCTGTTTTGGAACCATGTTTTCTAATTTTCAATACAAACTATCTAGGAAACAATTTAGAATTGTCACTACTTTGTTATAAAAATAGTTTTATTTTCTGATATGAAGCCCTCCAGTTTTGCAGAGAGGCTGTTTTGTATAGACCACTCCCACCCCAAGCAGATGTGTCCCATCACTCAGGCCGGTGTCCTCAGCCTTCCAGACAGCAGGTGGGGCTGGGCACAGGGGAGACCCTAGGTTCAGTCTCCAGAACTGCCAAAAAAGGGGTGGGGGCCGCAGGTAGCGTTGAAGGTTTGGAGCTCCACGCCACTGGAGCAACGGCACGTTTGCCGGAGGAGGCCTGTGCTGCCAGGAAGGATCAAAGCCCTGTCTCCAGAGGCCACATTCCTTGGTGACTGTAGAGCCTCAAGTCCAGAAGTGGTGATCCTGGGGTCCAGAGCAGATGTCACCAGGAGGTGCCTTCTGCTGAGCGTGTCCGTGGTCCTGTGGCATGCTCGTGGTGCCCCCCAGCCTGGACGTACTGCCAAGCCAGAGTTGCTGGACATACTTAGCCAGGCCTCGGCAAGGACACAGACCCGTTTCCTGCTGTCTCTCTTAAGTGGCTGGAAGCTGCTCGGCCTGAGGCAGCCAGGCTAGGACAGTCCTACCTCCTTCCCCGAGACTGTTCTGGAAGCAGGGCCTGAGGTCAGCTTGTTTTCTCCTCTGCCCCACCATGCTGTGTATGTGTGGGGAGGGCACAGCAGGAAGTCCCTCACTGCGTGCCTCACTTGGCCTGAGTGGTGAGCATCCCTGCCTGTTTGGGTTGAGACCACCCTGCAGGAGGCCCCACCAGACCAGCTGCTGACTCAGTCCCAGGCAGAAAGCACAAGAGGCAAGAGCTGAGCCTGGTCATTCTGGGGTTCCCAAGCAGACACCCTCAGACTGCTAGGGCCCCTGGCTGGCCATTCATCCCCTAAACCAGTGGTTTCCCACCTTCCTGACGCTGCGACCCTTAAATACCGTCCTCGTGTCTTGGTGACCCCAACCATAAAGTTACTTCACTGCTGCTCCATGACTGTTATTTTGATACTGTTATGAATCATAATGTAAAGAGCTGGGTTTTCCAGTGGTCTGGGTATCCATCTGTTCACCGGTGCCGCCGACACTGTTGGGAGGACTCATCAGAACCGGGGTTTCCTGGGACCTGTCAGGTGATCCTCTGGCGCCGCTGTTAGCAGGACTCAGTTCCTGGTACCCCTCTAATGCCTTCCCCACCGACAGTGTAGCAACAGGAGGAGAGGGGCAGGTGCGGGGCGAAGAGCACTTGGAGGGTCCGAGCCGGGCTTCGGGGCAGGCCCCCCGCGGCGGCGGCCGCCTCATGCACCCGGTCAACCTTCAGCCTCATCAGGAGCTCGTTGGCCCAGGTGATGCCCAGGGCTGGCGAGAGGTGCTCATCCCAGGCCCTGAGACACAAAATGGGTGTTGCTGCTGTGCGCCCCACCCACTCCGGCGTCCTTGCTGAGGGCCCGTACTCACCCCAGAGGCCTGGGCGTGGACTCCTCCGCCATTTCTGTCACCTGGGAAGACCCAAGCGAGGGTCAGTTACTGCGGCCACCTCAGCTGCTCCCCTCCCGCCCCGCCAGCCCCGCCTCCCCCAAGGAAAGGGCACAGCCACTGAGCCTCCCTACCTGGTTGATGCACAGCACAGGGCTCCGGAAGGTGCTGCTCAGTCCTCGGAGCGCGGCCCCCAGTGACTGCAGGCGCTTGGCCCTGGTGGCCAAGGCCTGAGCATCGTACTCACAGCGAAACGGGGCTGCCACAGAGTCGACCACCACCAGACGGGCCATTCCCCTTGAGAGCAGAATGGGGACCCTCCTCCTCACACACTCCAGCAAGGCGTCCTGGGGGGACACACAGCGTGCTCTACACTGGCCCCCCGGGATGCAGAGACTCCTGCCCGCACCTCCGCTCTTACTGTCCTCCCGAGCACCTTCCGCTGTCTCCCAGCCCCTCCCCGAGTCCTGTGAGCATCACAGTGACTGTCCCCTCGCAGTCACCCAAGCCTGCTACAGCCCCAGGGCTGACAGGATCAGCTCACTAGGCTGTGTGCTCTAGAGAGAGCTCTGCTTGGCCCCACTCAAGTAGGGTGTGGGGGAAGGGCTAGGTGCCCCCTGGTCTTTGTACCGATGGGCAGGTGGTAGGACGGAGCAGTGGTCTGGTAGTCCGTTCTACACACCCGGTACCACGCGCTCCTGAAGGGGTTGAGAACTGCACCATGCCCCACCTGAGGCTGCACCCTGGAGAGGATTAGCAAGGAGCAGGGGGACACTGGGCAGCTCCCCTCTGCCCGCTCCTGCAGTCCGAGGCCGAGGCAGGTGACCCGGGCTTGCTTCTTGGGGCCACTGTGCCCTGTTGGCACCAGGCGCGGGCGACTTGTGATCGGTCAGGAGCCTGACTGGCTGAGTGGCCCGGGTGAGGGTCACGAGGCCACGGTGGGGTGGTGAGGTTGCAGCCGGGGCCTGCACACTGGTCCCAGTTCAGGTCTGGCCAAGCAGGTAGCCTGCCCTGCCCCCCGAGCCGCGGACTCTGATGTCCAGCCCAGAGTGAAACTCTGCCTGTGCTTCTCCCTAGGGCGTCCCCAGCAGAGCCCCTGTGCGTGGAAAACGACAGCAGCAGCCTAGAAGACGCTAGCACTAACGTGAGTGCCGCACCTCCCCTCAGCCAGGCCTGGGTGGCAGCCATGGCGAGGAGGTGAAGAGGGGAGGTTCTGGGTTCGCATCCTGTTGAGCCCTGGGGGCTGACACGCTCCATGGCCGGGCAGAGCCAGGGTGGGAGGGGACGGAGCCGCTCCCGAGGTGGCCTGGCCTGACTGCAGCTTTCTTTCCCAGTGACCCGAGCCTGGCCTGCTCTGAACACCACGATGCTGCTGCCGAGTGTGGCTCCGGAGCTGGCCCTGTGAAGGCCGCGGTGGGGCTGGGAGGGCCCTGGGCTGGGAGCCACAGTGCTAACTTAGTCCCCTGCCCACGTGCTGCCGAGCACATACTAACAGCCACACACGAGTAGGGTCTGTCTGGGAGAGCAACTCTCAGTGAGTGAGTGAGGTCCGCGGCCTGGCCCTGTTCCCCTCTGGGCGGCCCCTGGGACAGGACACCTGGCTCCTGCTGCTTGCCCCGCTGTGGCGGCTCTTCTCCTGTGTTTAGTTCTCTGTGTTGTGTGTGATAATGTATTTTTATTGTACATTTTTTAAAATTAAAAGTTTATATGCCTTACCGTTTACCGGAATAAATGTCTGTTCATAAATCCCCCCGCCCCCCACTGTTTTCCAAGACAGTTTCTCTGTGTAGTCCTGGCTGTCCTGGAGCTCGCTCTGTAGACCAGGCTGGCCTCGAACTCAGAGATCTGCCCGCCTCTGCCTCCTGAGTGACACCTGGCAACTCTTTTTAAAAAATTAAAACTTTTTATTATCGCGTATGTGAGTGGCCTGTGTGAATGGCATTTGGTGAGCACACAGAGGCCAGAGGACAGCTTAGAGTAGCTGAGCCAGTCTGCCATCCTCTCAGAACGCTCTCCCTAGCCACAGTGGCACTCCAGGTGGCCACGCTGAGGGTGCTCCCAAGCCCCCCCAGTCATTACCCACATTTCTATTTGGGGTACAGGGCTGTTCTTCTCCAGACTCCTGAAGGATCCTCGTCTGTCATCCACCACTGCAGACAAGGGCTTCTCTAACTTGAGCAACTGTCCTGGGCATGGCCCTGCTTCCGGCTGCTGGAACTGACCCAGCCTGGTCATCAGGTAAGCCCCAGGCTCAGGCAGTGCCAACGGTGAACAGCAGCGGGGACAGGCCTCTGTGGTGCCTTGTCGGCTCTCTGGACCCCCCAACCTACAGGACACCTTTGCCACACACCCAGGGCTTCTCCTCCCCACAGGGGCCAGTTAGGTCGTTTTCAGGTACGGAGCAGCAGTGTTGGTCTCAAGGCAGGACTGTGGGGTAGACTTCCACAGCACACTCATCAACCCAGCATTCCCGAATGCCTGGCCCACAGGCTCCTCAGGGCAGCAGGCTCCTTGCTAAGTGTGTTTAGATTACAGGGCCTCTCAACTTTCCTAGCTGCAACCTTAAATACAGTTCCCCAACCGTAAAATTACTTTTGTTGCTACTTCATAACTGTAATTTGCTACAGTTATGAATCATAATATAAATAACTAATATGCAGGATGTATGCTATGTGACCCAAAGGGTCGTGACCCACAGGTTGAGAACTGCTGGTTTAGAACGAACCCTTCCTTCATGATCTCCTCCCTATGGGAGTCTGGTCCCCTAGGTCCTTACGTTGGACATCTCCTCCTCCTGACTTTACCCTGACAGTACATTCTGAGTCGAGCCCGGTCTCTGCACTCCAGGCCCCTGTACAGGTGACACTGGCTGAGTCACTGGGCCATTTGTGAGCAGAAACAGACACTTACCACGTCGGCCGCATGTTCAACGAAGATGTGGTTGCTGAACTTGATCTTCTGGACCACCTCCCCAGGCACATCTGTCCGCAGCTGCTGCTGATGTTCAATGAGCTGCCACAGCCGCTTGCTGGGGAAGACATCCTCTGTGCAGATGTAGACGGCCCCTGGGAAGCCAGAACACCAGTGTGCACAAGAACTGGAAATGGGTCCGTGGCCACACAACCAAATGTAGCCTCTGCCTGTCTGCCTCTGTCCTTTTCACCCAGAAGGGCCGCAGGCTCAGTGTGGTTCTTCTCCCACCTTTGGCTACCTTGCTGGTCCCTTAGAACACAGGCTGTCCCTCTACTCAGACACCGGAGTACCCACTCGCCTCCATTCCCACGCCGTTCCTGGATACCCTGATCGCTCATTCCTGCTCTCCAGTTCCCCGCTGGGTTGGGCAGGACAGGGCAGAGATCACCAGGGTCACGAGACTTTGGAACATGTTCCTCAGATGCAGGACAGCTCACAGGCTCCTGCCACTGTCTCTGCGTGACGACGCCAGAGTGGGTGAACAGGCCTGAGCACCTGGTCACCCAGAGCCCCAACAGTCCTTGTGTGGTGCACTGTTGGTCAAACCACCCCGATCTGCAGCTGAGAAGAGCTGGGTCACTAGCAGGAAAGCCGGGGTCTGTGGGCAGTGGGTTCTCAGCAAAGGCGCCAGTGCCTCACCCGAGACATTCTTCCCACAGAGGGTGCTGGGACTCTTGGAGTCCACATGCTTAGTTTGAGAACTCTCGGGGAAGATGCCAGTGGCTAGTCAAAGACATCAAAGCACAAGTGATAAGTGTTTTTCCTAAGATGAACACGGTGTGTTTCCAAGGACGCGGGTAAGAAAGCAAAGATCAGCTGGACGGTGGTGGCCACGCCTTTTAGTCCCACCCAGCACAGGAAGCAGAGAGAGGCAGGCAGATCTCTGAGTTTGAGGCCAGCCTGGTCTACAGAGTTCCAGGACAGCCAGGGCTGCACACACAGAGAAACGCTGTCTTGAAAAACCAAACAAAAGAGAAAGCAAAGACCATCCACAAAAGGAGGAAGCACAACTGACAATATTCTGGGTGCAGATATAAACATTTAACTATCTCCGTTACCACGGTAGGGTCTCACTCCGCAGGCCAGACTCACTGGAGCCAGGCTGGCCTCCAGCTTGCACTGACCTTCCTGCCCCTGCCTCCTGCGGGCGGGCTGGGGTTACAGGTATGACGCACCACAGCGAGATGCTGGTTTTTGTTTTTTTGGTTTGTTTTTTTCTTTTTCGAGACAAGGTTTCTCTGTTTAATAGTCCTGGAACTGGTTTTGTAGACCAGGCTGGCCTCGAACTCACTGAGATCTGCCTGCCTCTGCCTCCCAAGTGCTGGGATTAAGTGCGTGCGCCACTGCCGCCCAACCTGGATGATGGTTTTTAAGACTCCGTAGGCAGGAGGTACTTCTGAAATGGCTCTGGGGCTGACGGGTGTGTCTCGGAAGAAGGCGCACCAGAGGCTAATGTCCATTGCTGCCAACCTCAGGAGTGCTGGGGACACCCACACCGCCACCGCCTCAGGAGTGCTGGGGACAAGACGAGCTTTGATGAGGACCAGGAAACTGGAGCCTTCCTTTGGCCATTGTTTTTGGGACAGAAACCAACGTGAAGTGGTGCTGTGGTGAGGCTCCAGCTGCTCACAACAGGGCCCGAGTACAGGGGTGAGGTGCCTCAGCTTACGCTGTGTGACCGCTGCAGGATCGGCTGGTACCCCGGCTAGCTCCTTCCACAGCCTAAGTCCAGCGTCACCTGCCACCTCCTCTTCTGGACGAAGACAGTCACGGGAAGCCACCCAGGGGACAGCCGCTACCCCCAGAGCAGAACAGGTGCCCGAGTCCACCTGGCTGGGACCTGCCTTCCCTACCCCCGAGGAAGAGGCAGCCACTCACCAGCCTCCAGGCCTCCATATTGTCGTGGGAACTGCACGGTCAGGCAGAGCTGAAGCGCCAGCTGCGTCTTCCCGGCCGAGCTCCGGCCAGCCAGGTCAGTGATCCCCTCCAGGGGCAGGCCGCCACCCAGGAACTGATCCAGGACCGGGCAGCCCAGGCTCAGGCGTCGATGCTGCTCGGGGAAGCCCTCCCTCTGCTGGAACAGCTGCAGCGCTGCAGGGAGCAGGGGTCAGCATGCTTCCGGCCTGGCCCGGGCCCGCCCACGGCCTGCTGGGGTCAGCATGCTTCCGGCCTGGCCCGTGCCCGCCCACGGCCTGCTGGGGCCTGGGAGCCTAAGGCCTTTAAGGAAGTGCTGGCTCCAGACGCAGCGTGGCTGCAGGACTGGCCAAGTCCATGGGCTGGGTGCTGAGGTCAGAGGGCAGGCAGCCTGGCCCTGCGGCTGAAGACAGTGCTACCTAAGAGTTTGTTCCTGTCACACTCCCAGGATGCCACACATGCTCTCCAGTGGGCACAAGCTGCTAGAGAAACCCAAGTCTGGGTGTAGTGTGTGCACCTTTAGTCCCAGCACTTGAGAGGGGAGGCATCTCCATGAGTTCGAGGCCAGCCTGAGCTACAGAGGGTTCCAGGACAGCCAGAATGACATAGAGAGACACCCCTGGTGCCAGCCGGAAGATGCTTCCCTGCCCACCTGTAAGGACACGGCCGCCCTGAAGGTGTCGGGAGGCCACTTTGAGCAGGTAGTGCACATCGTGCGTGGGCAGGCTGGTGAGCCGCTGCAAGTCTGGGCCCGAGTAGCACAGAACCTCCTTCACGGACTTCAGTCTACCTGAAGTCACAGATAAACCACAGTGAGTCAGGACACTCAGCAAGGGGGGCAGGGGAGGGGAGAGCTGGCCTCCAGAGCTGGGGACACCAGTGACGGTGACTGGATTCACCCAGCACGTCTTGGGGAGAGTGAGCAGTGAGGAGGGAGGAGGGAGGAGGGAGGAGGGAGGAGGGAGGAGGGAAGGACTACTGAAGGGACCCTGCTGCTGCACCCTTGTGACCTGGCCGTGACTCTCATGTCAGCAGCAACAGGAACCAGAGGTGAGGGCGAATCCTGGGGTCACCCTGTCCCACTCTTTGTCCATAGTCCAGGCTACTTGGGAGGCTGAGGCAGGAGGATTTCTGGAGCCAAGGAGTTCAGGGCCAGTTTGAGCTACACAGCAAGACCCTGTATTTTAAAGTCAAAACAAAAAGTGACTGTGGAGTTGGGGGTGTGGTGTGGGCGAGTGCCTGCTGACCATGCACAAAGCCCTGGAGTTGACTGATGTCGACAGATGGAGAAAGGGCAACGTAGAAGCCAACTCTGAGCCTCGCCAGGCCAGGCCAGGGCAGGAAGTAAAGGGACCTCGCAGCTAATGAGCCAAGGGCCTGCTGCTTGGGAAGAAGGGTAAAGAAATTAATTCTGGCCAGCTGTGGTGGCGCACGCCTTTAATCCCAGCACTTGAGAGGCAGAGCCAGGTGGATCTCTGTGAGTTTGAGGCCAGCCTGGTCTACAGAGCGAGATCCAGGACTGGCACCAAAATTACACAGAGAAACCCTGTCTCAAAGAACAAAACAAAACAAAGAAAGAAATTAATTCTGGGCCTGGATTTACTTTGTATTTTCAAATCAGCTGAAAGAAGAAACTATTATCCCAGCACTGGCAATCAGAGGCAGGAGGCTCTCTGTGAGTTCAGGGCCAGACACAGTGAGTTCCAGGCCAGCCAGGGCCATACAGTGACGCCCTGTTGCAATTAAAAAGAAAGAAGAAAAGAAAAAAATGACTGCAGGTGTGTCAAACCCGTTCCCACAGTGGCAGGAAGATCTGCCATGGAGATGGGGGCTGGGCGGCTTGCCCACAGCAGCCCTCCAGGAACTCAGGGGCAGAAGGTGCCCCACAGACAGAGTAGCCCACAGCAAAACAGACCTGAGACCCTCTCTGAAGAGGAGAGGGACCGCCAGCTGGTGGCGGCACACAGGCTTGATGAGTGCTTGTCTTACCCAAGGTGCACGTGTGTAGCTGTCCACTTCACACAACATACCCTTCTTAATTGCAGCAGTAATTCTGGGGTTTAGGTCCAGTTGATCCAAGTCCATTTCCTCAGTGGGTTCACGAGCATGAGAAACTTCCAGCGAGACAGTGATGGCAACAGATTCCAACGTGCTTGCTGTTAACTTGGACCACCTGTGGGAGGGCGTGTTAGAAAGTGCCACACTCAGAGGGCCGTCTGATGTGAACGCTCACCTCGACATCAGGGTAGTTAGGGGCTGCAGAATGTTATTATAAGGTCTGTTACTTTTGCTTATGTTGCATTTGTTTAACTCTGAAGCTGTGTTCCTGTGTCTGTCTAAAACACCTGATGGTCTAATAAAGAACTGGCCAATAGCAAGGCAGAAGAAAGGATAGGAGGGGCTGGCAGGCAGAGAGAAGATACAGGAGAAATCTGGGGGAAAAAAAGTAGCCAGAGGAGGAGGAACCCAGGGGTCAGCCACCCAGCTTCATGACAAGCCACAGAGGAAGAGTAAGATTTACAGAAGAGAACAGAAAAAGCCCAGAGGCAAAAGGTAGATGGGATAATTTAAAGTTAAGGAAAGCTGGCAAGAAACAAGCCAAGCTAAGGTTGGGCATTTGTAACTAAGAATAAGCCTCCGTGTGTGATTTATTTGGGAGCTAGGTGGTGGGACCCCCAAAAGAGCCAAAACAAAGAACAACATGTGTTCCACCAAGGGCAGAGGACAGGTGTCACTGTCTTGGAAACACTATCCATGAAAGCCCAGGTTAGTGCTTCTGTTTGTCCTGGCTCTCCAGAGGTTAGCACGGAACAAATCCTGATCTCCCTATCATCCTGAAGGTGCAGTGCCTGAGGCTCAGTTGGGAGAAGAAAGCTAGCTGGTGCGTGCTGCACCCATTTAACTTCTTGGGGCCTGCATGGTTCTAGGTCTACATGCATGGGTCTCACCCAGCATTTTCCAACGTTTTGTGAGTTGGGAGTTTTGAAGAATGCTGGGGGGAACCACACCTAGTCAGAGGACAACGGGGAGGGGCAGGGCTACAGCTCCACCTCACTGGAAAGCACTAGGAGACCCTCCCAGGAAGGGACCTGGGGGGACAGCAATAGGGCCTCTTACCCTCCCACTGGGGCTGGCAATGCTAGAACCAGTAAGACATTACAAAGGGTGTGTCCAACGATACTCTGCAATCTCGTACACATTGGTTCAAATGTCAATGCCAAGAGCGCTGTGAGTGTGTGTGTGTGTGTGTGTGTGTGTGTGTGTGTGTGTGTGTGTATGTGTGTGTGTTTGTGTGTGTGTGTGTGTATGTCTTGCTGTGGACCATGAGGATGTGGAGATCCGGTGCTGGGCAGGCACAGTGGCCTGCCAGTAATCCCAGCGTTCAGAAGGAAGCGACAGGGCATCTTCAGAGCAGGCTGACCAGCCCATCTGTGAACGGAGTTCAAGTGAGACCCTGCCTCAGTATATAAGGCCAGTGTTTGAGGAATACATTGGTGCTGCAGGCCGCAGGAATATATCCTAGGAACACAGCTGGTCATGGCAAAGTCACTGCCTGGAGGGATCAGGAAATTCCTCCAGAGGAAGCCAAATCCCAAGGAGTTTTTGGTGTTACTTGGCTTGTTATATATCAGCTGTCTTCTGTTATGAAAATCATGTGTGCCTTCATAGTTTTCCCAATTGACTTTTCACTAAGAAGGGCTAACAGTGTGGACTGATCACTCTCTGGACACACACATTCCAGGTATTTGGAGAACAGCCTCAGGAAAGGCTTCCTCTAGAATCAGATATCTCCCTTGGCCACTTTCAAGGACTAGCAGTAATAACAGTCCACATGCAAGTCTCCTGATTTAAGGTAAATTCCACAAGGAGACACCACCTAGGTCAGGTGGACGATAATAGCTTTACACAATTTAGCTCGGACCCTCCTTTCTTACAGCCTTACTAACTTTATAGACTGCTAACTCCTTACCTAAGCACTTCTAGGAATATTTAGATAACCTTCTGCACTGATAGCTATGCTCAGCCAGAACCCCAGTTCAAGCCTCCCTGTACTTATCATCATTGGCAGCATCTGGCCAGGTCCATCCCCAGATGGAGGAAAGTACCTTATCAGAGATACCTCTGTACTCTCTAAGAACAGACTTAAGCATCCAGACTACCTGTTTGAGAAGCCTGGCGGATGTGCCAATTAAGCTTTACTTCCTCCTTTCCCAAACCTTACCTCTGGTTCCAGATCTCCCTTTAACTATCACCAGAGGCATCTGGCTGTACAGGTTGCCTACCGACTGAGCACACTTTCCCCCACCCTGCAGAAAAATGGCAGATAGCTTGGACAGATAGGAGCCACAGGAAAAAAAGAAGACAGTTTTATTTTCTCCCATTGACCTAGCAACTTATAGATTCTTAACATTTTCTACCAATCATGTTTAAGATTATAGTTGAGCACATAAGAACCCTCTTCTTAGATATTACCTGAATTTAGCTTTTAGTTAATTCATTTCCCCATTGGTCACTTCCCTTTGGGGTTGCAAATGATAATTAAAGGTTACTGCCTCCCTATGTGATTCTTATCACCCCTCCATTTGACCCTGGAAGCCTGGTTTTGCACTGCTAAGGGAATACTGCTTGTAAGTGTATAT